GGCTTGCTTAAGGCAAAGATAAAGCTTTGACTAAAAAAGATAAAGCCCTCGGGCATGGCTATTCAACATGACCTGGCCAGTTAAGAATTTATGATCAGATCACTCCATGAGGTTACTTTTCATAGAGCCTCTTTTCTCATCTACATAGTTAAACCAAACCAAAAAACAAAAAAGGTCTTCGAATTACCTCCCTGAGAACAGCATTTAGGGAAGCAGTAATTAGGTAATTAGAGCTGGGAGTCGCAGCAGAGCCTGGGGTGGGGGTGTAGGGGTAATGACTCCCACTCTGCAGTGCAGCAGACCTCCAGAGGTATAAACTGATGAGACAAGTAAAGAGTTAACAGGGCTATGAATGAGCGAAAAATAAACCTCTGGGCTCTGAATCTCCTGACTAGCATTGCACCTGCAGGCTGACAAGCAACTTACATCCATCATAGGTAGGAATAGAACAGTTCGCAATTGCAACAGCAACCCCCTGCAAACTGACATCTATCATAGATGGGAACAAGGCAGTTCCCAGGAGAACACAATTGTAATGGCAGTCCCCCCAGCCCCCCAAGCTGACAAGCGCTCTACATCCTGCATGGAAAAATATAAAACCCCAGCACTCCTCATCCATGCAGCTCTCTGCCATCGGACTCTGCCCTGGCTAAACTCCATTTGCCAGTATCTTTCTCTTACCCCTCTGTCTGCAGCTGTCTCCATCAGACTGCCTTGGCTAAGCTTCTGCCAGTTCGAAACAGAACTCTCTTTTTCCCTTTTTGAGTTTCAATAAATCTTTGCTTACTCATGTAGAGTTTCATAAATTCTTTTTACATTCTGCGAACGACGAGGGGTTAATTCTACACCAAGACATAAACCTGACCTTCTCTGAGCTCAGTTGAGCTTCCTCTCCCCTCTACTGCTCTGGTGGAGCACTATCCCTCACCATGGCTGATGGCCGGCCAGGCGCAGTGGGTGGGATGCTGGGCTCCTGCTGGTTTCCCGGCTGAGCGGCTCACTCTTTCCCCCTCACCCCAAAATCCTGGTGCCATCAAGTTGATATGCTTATGCCTCCTGACCCAGGTCGTGGGCACCCACAGAAAATCTGAAATTGCGCGGTTCTGGGCCTTGCAGCAGTCAAGGGTGCCTTTTCCATCTTAATGGCTCTTAATACAATTATCTCTTACTCCTTATCAAAGACATGGACTAGAGGAAAGGAAAAAGATCTAATAATGTATAGCTCTACCAGCCAGACCTACTTTTAGCATTGTGATAGATTTCCTTTCAGTTTTTCATAACAGGTGTGTTTTAAAAATACGTTACTAGGAAACAAGAACAATCTCATATCAACAGACTATCCTTACACCTAAGGGAACGGGAGAAAGAACAGCAAAACAAGCCCAAAGGGAGTACAAGGAAGGAAATAATAAAGACCAGAGCAGAAATAAATGAAATAGAGACCAAAAAAAACAATACAAAAGATCAATGAAACCAAGAGCTGTTTTTTTGAAAAGATATACAAAATCGACAAACCCTTAGCCAGACTCACCAAGAAAAAGAGAGAGACGACCCAAATTAATAAAATTAGAAATGAAAGAGGGGACGTG